GGCAAGGCCCCCTTCACGCGGTTGCCATTGGGCCGGTTTGAGCAGGGCACAGGCCCTTGCAGCCTCGCGTAATAGCCGCCGGCAGTCTTCGTTGCAAGTAGAGCCGGCCACGGCGGGCAAGGTCCCTTCGCCCGACAGAGGGTGGCAGCTTGGGGGGAGGGATTCAGAGACGAAGAGTCAGGCGTGTCGTAACCGCTTCAATGTTATCGTTCTCATCGCCACATTTTTATTCTGCGTGTAGAGCGACGGCCGCCGCGGGTACTTAAGCGTGTTGGCGGCCCTAGCAAGGGGCAGTTCTTGTCGCAGAAGAGCCCGTAGAGCCCCGCGGGGCAAGAAGCGGTCCCGGCAAGCTGGCCCCTTGAAGCCCTCGGGGCAGAGGCAGGCCCCGTTGATGTGGTAGCACTTGGCCCCGTTCTGACAGTCGCAACTTGTGGGCGCACTGCGGCCGGTAAGTGCCGCCGGGGCATTCGTCCCGGCCCCTGGGGGGGGGGTACAAATCTGTGTTTAGTCCCTTTAAAGGAACCCTCTCAGGTCAGAGTGAAGCAGCAGAGGAGCTCGGACCAAATAACACCCGACGTCCGTGAAGTGGCAGCAATGTTCATCTCAAACGGGCAATTTTTCCATTCTTCCATGGCGAGGATCAGCGGGCTCTGAGCGGACGTCCCGACCGGGCCCACGGAGCGCCATTGAACAAGAAGCTGAGCTTCCGTTGTTGAAGCGCGAGTGGAAAACCATTTGGAAGTAGACAAATCGCTCAATTAAAACGTCCCAGTGAGGATTTCTGCTTTGTGTCACGTCTAAATCATGCCGACGTCCTGAGGACTCTTATCTCGGCTAATTCCATTAGGACGAAGACGTGGGGGGGGGGGTGGTGGGGGGCTCGATCCAGGAATTATTCCATGTAGGATAATTCACCTGTCTGGGGCCCAAATGAATGGTGGTAATTTGGCTCAATTGAGAGTGAGGATGGAGGGATTGGAGAGACGAGAGAGATGGGGGGGGGGGGGGTGGGGGGCAATAAAAGAGTTAATATAAAGGAAAAAACTATTTCAAATGGCTCTTGGTCAGGAAAAGTACATAATGGCCCCCTGGATGAGCATTGGAAGGTGGGGAGGGAGGAAGCGTTGGACACATAGTCTCCATCTTTTGTACGAGGTGGTACTTTATTATTTATTATTATTATTTATAGGCTTATTTCACCTTTGATATTATTGGTTGTTTTGGGGACTGCGCTGTTAATGAGTGAGTTAAAGTAAAGAAGCAGAAAGTGAGCTAACGCAAAGGTATTTTAATGGCCGCCACACCACGGTAGCTTGAGTCGTTAAATTTGTTTGAATCAAAAAGTTCTAGACGCCGTACAGACGAATGTGAAGCGCATGTGAATAACTGCCTTGGAGGAGTTTTAAAAAAAACAAATTCATCCTCATTTCAAAATGGCCGACTCAGCGTGCACATGTGATGACGTGCACACACATGCAAAATGAAGAGTTGCATACGGCCATTAACAACGAGGCGGATAAAAACAGAGCATTTCAGTAATCTCCGATCCAATGAGACACGAGTTCACGTACTCCGTCACCCAGCAGATCGCTAGCAAGCTAGCTAGCTCTACCACATGAGCCACCACCCAAAGTCACAGTGGAAAGCACTAAAGGCCGATGTAGCATACCTCTCTCCGACGTAGCCGGCGGTACACTGGCACTGACCGCTGATGTGGTCGCACAGACCGCCGTTACGACACGTGCACTCCTCAGAGCAGTTGATGCCAAACGATCCGAATGAGCACGGCTGTGCACACACGGGACCCTGGAGGAGGAGGAGGAGGAGACGAAGGGAGGAGATGTTAAGCGGTAACTTAAGTAAACTGCAGTAGACTCAAGCAAGAAGTCTTAAATAGTTATGATTGAGATCATGTCAAACAATGGGATCAAATGAGAGGTAGACGTGGGGTTTTCAATGCTATGGGAACATAACATGAAGGTCTCAGCTCAACCCCAACTTGTACAAGAGTAGATGTTAAAGCTCCACGATGTTCCTAAACAGGCTTCCAGGGGGATAAAGGTCAAGCATTTGGACACGTCCTGCTAGCTGAACTGGGGTGCACGTGCACTCTAGCTGGTTGGCTCGCGGACTCGTACCACCCAGCCGGCGGGACAGGAGCACCGTCCGGTGACGTGGTGGCACTCTCCTCCGTTCTGACACGGGCATCGCTGCTCACACAGGGCGCCGTGTTTACCGGCGGGACAGGGCTCCTCACAGCTGGAGAAGACACAACAAGCAGGTGTTTATGAGAAGGCCCGGGCGGCTACCCAGCGGTGGGGTCTTAAAGCTGCGTCCTCTGCAATGACCAGCAGGGGGCGACTCCTCTGCTCCCATAGACGTCTATGAGGAAATGACTCTACTTCTCTGTAGTGACCAGCAGGGGGCGACTCCTCTGCTCCCATAGACGTCTATGAGGAAATTACTCTACTTCTCTGCAGTGACCAGCAGGGGGCGACTCCTCTGCTCCCATAGACGTCTATGAGGAAATGACTCTACTTCTCTGTAGTGACCAGCAGGGGGCGACTCCTCTGCTCCCATGTTGATGATGTTCATGATGTTCATTTAGTAAATTCTGGTCCATTTAGAGTGAAACAGACCACAAAACAGGGGGTGCTTTAGGGCGGGGCTCAGTGTGATTGACAGAGACGTATACGTACCCTGTGATGGACAGTAGAGAAAACGCAGCTTTAAGACCGGTACAACGAAATCCAAAATCAAACCCAGAAGGAGTGTGTGTGGGTGTTCAACTCGTGGCCCCCCCCCGCTGCACTCACAAGGCCCCGGTGTAGCCGGGCGCACACAGGCACTCGCCGGTCCGATGCTGGCAGGTGGCGCCGTTGAGGCACTGGCACTCCAGCAGGCAGTCCTTGCCGTAGAGGTGGGGGTCGCAGGGCTCCTCGCAGCGCCAGCCCTGGAAGCCGTCGGTGCACACGCAGGCCCCGGTGATGGGGTTGCACTTGGCCCCGTTACGGCACTGACAGCGGTTGCTGCAGTGGGGCCCCCAGAAGTCGCTCTCGCAGCCTGGACAGAGAGGAGGGGGGGGGGTCAACATGTGATTTAAAACTGTGTGGTTATCGATATTCACGTAAGACGCCTGAGGGTGATTCATGGTGCTGAAGTACTCCTCGGGAGTGTTTATCGGAGAGGGCGGAGGTGAGGTGGAGCCGGTCTGCAGGAGGACGTTTTCGTCGTCTCGGCGTCACCACCGTGTGAAACCAGTGAACAGAAGTGACCGTTGTAATGGTCAAATATGTCATAACATCTCCTGAAGAAAGGAGAGCGAGGAGGCTCGTCTTCATCTTCATCTTTCACTCTTTGTAAGGGTCCTGAGCGGGTTCAATACCTAGTTTCATATGTTTAATACCTGCCATCTATCTGGTCTGGTGATGAGGATTGGGCCGCCCGAGGACGACCTTATTGTGTGAGTATAGAAGCTCTGCGTTTTGACTGATCACGGAGCACTGAAATACGTGCTTGTGTATTTGACCTCCTGCTTGCAAGCAGTAAATTGACTTTTACAACTTTGATCATTCATCAATACTCAGATAAACCTCGAAACGAATTATTCTCTTCTCCCCAACTAGTTTTATTGAGATATTCCACAACATCACACAAGGACTGAGGAGGACGAAAAGACGGCACATACGTCTCTGTTAGAGACCTGTCAATCAGCGCGTAGCCCCGCCCTAAAGCATCCTCTGCTTCATGGCCTGTTTGACGTTCCGGTTGCTCCCTTTATATTATAACGCAAATATAAAGCTAAAGTTACTTTATTTTTAATTACACAGGTTGCTTAAGTTAAAGAAATTACAGTATTCACCGAAGTCCAAAAAGGTTTAAAAAGTCAGTGGAAGCAGCAGAGAAAGAAGAACTTAGTTTGGTCTTTGTTTGACATGAACAGCTGCAGTCAACAGTCCATAAAGCCTCCATGAACCCTGGAGGAGAGTCTGAGAGAACTGGGAGGGCAGCAGATATCTGCAAAGCGTCACCTGTGACATCAGCAAACAAAGATGTTTACCCGCACAGCTGGTCTGACAGCTCTTCAGCGCCGAGTCAAGTCTACTGCCGGCATGAGGCGCTTTTAAAATGAAAGAACCCACCAACAGCAGGATGGAGTCGAGGGAGGGGGCTTTAAGGTCTGAGGTGAAATCCTCTCCCTGATGTGAAAGAACTAAACACACTGAGCTCAAAGTAATCAATAACTACACTGGGCCATGAGGAAATATGAAAATGTGCAATCCCACCAAAAAATACATACATGTATTCATATTTACTACATCATCAAACATGCATTTTATATACTTTATTGTATATCTGATTCAATTTTAACCATATATTTGAACTCTATTTTATGTCTAAGATTCTCATTTTGCTCTTACTTGTGTGACCAATTAAAATAAAATGCGTATTAATGAGCATTAACAGAGGCCACAATATCAGAAATAATACTTTTATTAATTTATGTCTCAATTTAAAATAAAAGGATCAATGCTCACAGCAAAGTGTCAAAGTGGTGTGTATTTCTTTCTGTGCTACACAGTGTGAAAAGTCCTTTGAGTCTGTGACCTTCACATCCGACCTCCATCACCGCTCTACGTCACCTGAGCAGCGGGGCTGTAAGTCCCAACCAAGTACAAACGAAGAGACGTGTTGAGGTCTCGTCTGCGGTCGACGATGCTCCCGGAGGAACCACGTCCTCCAAAAGGGAAGCGAAGCACCCGGAGCGCCAGCAGCTCTCAAACAATCCAAACAGTTCAAAGGAAACATGTAAAAACACACTGACCGGGTATCAGGGTGTTAAATGTTTCATGAACGCTGCAGGGGACGGAGCTCAGACAAAGCTTCTTCTTCATGCATCCTCCTCCTCCTCGTGTCCATCGCTCACAGGGGGGGGTTCCCCTTTAGTTCCCTTCACCAGTGAGGCAGCGCGTCAACTCGGTTATTCAGCAGCAACGAGTCCGAATCAAGCGGCTAATGACTGATGAGGAGCAGCCTGCTGTGACCCGGGACAAGGACTGTCTCTAGAACTGTCCCACTCTCCCAAGGAATGTTTTCTAGGTCTGTCCATCCCTGCAAGGAATGTCTCTAGGACTGTCCAACTCTACAAGGAATGTCTCTAGGTCTGTCCAACCCGCCATGGAATGTCTCTAGAACTGTCCAACCCTCCAAGGAATGTCTCTAGGTCTGTCCAACCCTCCAAGGAATGTCTCCAGGTCTGTCCAACCCGCCAAGGAATGTCTCTAGGTCTGTCCAACCCGCCATGGAATGTCTCTAGAACTGTCCAACCCTCCAAGGAATATCTCTAGGACTGTCCAACCCTCCAAGGAATGTCTCTAGGTCTGTCCAACCCGCCAAGGAATGTCTCTAGGTCTGTCCAACCCTCCAAGGACTGTCTCTAGGTCTGTCCAACCCGCCATGGAATGTCTCTAGAACTGTCCAACCCGCCAAGGAATGTCTCTAGGTCTGTCCAACCCTCCAAGGAATGTCTCTAGGTCTGTCCAACCCTCCAAGGAATGTCTCTAGAACTGTCCAACCCTCCAAGGAATGTCTCTAGGTCTGTCCAACCCGCCATGGAATGTCTCTAGAACTGTCCAACCCGCCAAGGAATGTCTCTAGAACTGTCCAACCCGCCATGGAATGTCTCTAGAACTGTCCAACCCGCCAAGGAATGTCTCTAGGTCTGTCCAACCCTCCAAGGAATGTCTCTAGGTCTGTCCAACCCGCCAACGAATGTCTCCTGTGCCAATGGTGGGTTTTGGGACAGAGGATGTTGGACTGTAAAGCCCTCTGAGGCAAATTTGTAATTTGCGATTTTGGGCTATACAAAATAAAATGATTCGAATTGAATTGAAATTGAACCAAGGAATGTCTCTAGGTCTGTCCAACCTTCCAAGAAATGTCTCTAGGTCTGTCCAACCCTCCAAGGAATGTCGCTAGAACTGTCCAACCCTCCAACGAATGTCTCTAAAACTGTCCAACCCTCCACGAATGTCTCTAGGTCTGTCCAACCCTCCAACAAATGTCTCTAGGTCTGTCCACCCTTCCAAGAAATGTCTCTAGAACTGTCCAACCCTCCAACGAATGTCTCTAGGTCTGTCCACGCCGTGAGATAACAGCGAGTTTTTCTCTCACACACACTGTGATATGAAGCTTAGTGGAGCTCATGATCTCCGCTCCGTGGCCTCTTCGTCATCTCTCTCTCTGTCCACACGCTGGAGGACCTCTCGCGGCCGTCTCACTGCTGGGACGGACTCCGTGCAGGGGAAACAGGACGGGACCATATCACCTTCCAGTCTTACTTCTGGTTGCATAAAAGTAAAATCACTAAGCCAGAAACCGAGATGGTTGCGACTGAGATGCTGAACTGGAGGCTCGTTAACAGCCGACAAACGCGTGACGTCACCGTGACTTCGTCCACTTCTTCTACAGTCCATGAAATCAAAACACAACAGGGAGACACGAACCGGTTTGTGTGTTTGAACAGAGGAACAAAGCAAAAGCCAATGAGCTTGCAAGTCATTGCACACGCACACACACACACACTCACATACACACACAGCCTTGAGTGTAATTCATTCATTTTTTATTCAATGGCATCTTTGTCAGTAACTTATGGAACGGGAATAGAGAAGCAATCTGCAGGATGCTTGTTTTTCACGACACCTTCGGTGATAAACAGTCGCTGCTTTGTGTTTACTGCCGGCGCTGCCTAAATACATCTATTATTAAATACTACCCGCTTGTATGCATTCCAAACAAATTGCTATTGTTGTTTCCGTGAACACTGAGACAACAACTTTGCATGCGACGGAGGAGAGGAGCTGCAAGCAGAGTAAGGGCCTGAATAAAGTAGGAAAAGTGTTTTATGATATAAAGAGGAAGTGCAAATGACTACTTTAAATCACAGCAGAACGCTTTCCAACCGAAACGTCCTACGGGCTCATTGAGAAGGTCGACGGCCGGCACGAAGCCCACCGGACGCAGAGATAAAACACAAACAACAGCAAACTGACTGCGCTTGACGACAATGCATTTGTATTTCTGCAGCAGCCGGTTGCCCGGCAACGCAGCGCTTCGGTTAAAAACACACACCAACGACTACGCTACACTTTACCAAAGCAGCAGTAGCAAGGCACTCTACTCAGTGTGTGTGTGTGTGTGTTTGTGTGTTGACCTGGTCACTGGATAACTGTGTCAAGTTAATCAGGAGACGGCCGACACGCATACGAACACTCGTGTTTAATTCACAGACATTGATTTCCTATTTTCAATTAATAATTGTAATTAGTGGCAGCGTGGTTGAGGCCGCGTGGGAGGCGGGTCGATGGGGGCGGGGGGGCGTTGGGGG